CCGCATCCGCCTGCTTGGGATTCTCTCTCTCTGCCCCTCCCCTGCTCGTGTGCTCTGTCTCTCTATCTTTCAAACTAAATAAATAAACTTTAATAAAATAAAAATAAATATAGGAGTATATGGGACAACGTATGGGGGTCTATGAGTATATGGGGACATGTGCACACATTCTCGTATCTTAATACCACATTAATACATAATAATATAATAATCTTGTGAGCCAGGCATTGTGCTAAGCACTCGACACAGGGGAGTGGGTCAGCATAGGTGTGCAGAGCATTTGCAACACACGCGCGTCCATGCTGGTTGAATGTAACATAATTGTGTGCCCATTCGGGTCACGCAGGCAGCGGGGAATCCCTCCGTGTGCTTGCTCGAGGCTCAGCGATGGCGTGGGCATAAATGTCAGTGAATCTGAGTGTGCGTGCGCGTCTGCACACGCATGCATATGGGTGCACACCCACTTCCCTGTTCCCGGACGGATTGGTGAAATTGTGCGTTATTTATCAGCTGCCTGGGCGACGTGAGCCCCCTGCTTGCCCTGAGCTCATTGCCAAGCAGCCGTCAAGCCCACACACACGTCATGGTGACAGCAGCATGCCTGGGAGGGGGACGCCACTCTGCTCTCTAGAGCCACGGGCTGTGCCATGAAGCAGGGCCCCTACTAGGGAACTGTACAGATTGATGACGCCAGACTTGGAGCTGTGGGAGTGCTCAGCAGATGGGACGAGCCCAGGGGCCCTGGGCGCAGGACAGACAGAGCTGGCACCTTGAGAGCCAGAGGACCTGGCTTAACAAGCGAAACCCCGGGCCTGGCCCGGGAATATCGTCTTAGCATCATACCAGTTGTGCCTGCCCAGTGGCCAGGCATGCAACACCCTTGCTCTGCTGCACCCCCACCGTGGCTCCCTGCTGGCCCTCAGGAGTAAGTCCAAACTCCCCCAGGCAGTGCACAAGGCCCACACGACCTGGTATACACTTCCAAGGCACATCTCCCCCCACTCCTCCCCTTCAGTTCAGTAGACTGAACTACTCACAGTCCTATGATGCACTTGGACCCTTGGGTCTTCTTGCTGCCTCTCCCTGTCTGATTTCTCCAGGTAATGTCCCTGGCTCGCCCCTAGTCCTTGCCCCCTCAAGGTTCAGCTCACCTCCGCAGGAATGCTTCCTTCACCCTTCCTGACCCCCTAAATGAGGGAAGGGTCCCCACACCCCTGACATTCTTGTAGATCCCTAGATTTCCCTATTATCCCACTTCCTTATTCATCCTTTCTTCTCCCATTGACTTGGGCCCAGGAAGGGAGGAGCATGTCTTAGCGGTTCATGGCTTTATTCCAATGCTTAGCATGGTACCCGGTCATAGGTGGTCCATAAATATGCGTTCATGAATTGTTGCTAAAGCCTTTTGTGAGACGGCGGTTGCCTTGAGTCCTCCCCGTTACATCACAGTGTGCATCTGTACAGGCTTTGGGTCTCTCAGATCTCCAGGCTGAAGAGAGCTGCCCCTCTCCCCAATCCCTCTCCTCCTTCCCATCTTAACAGTAACAAGCCCCACCCCCCCACTTTTACAAATGGAAGCCATCAACACCATCTTCCGAATGAGCACAGTGAGGCTCAGAGAGGGAAAGTAGCAGTGGCACGTGACTACGATGACCATCCCCCAGTTCGCCCAGAACTTTCCCAGCAGTAGCGCTGAAAGTCCCATGTCCTGGGAACCGCCTCGGTCCCGGGAAAGCTGGGACAGCTCGTCACCCTTCTTGTCCACAGTCAGTAAGTGGCAGATCTAGGGCGCAAACCTGGGACTCCAGGCTCTACACCATACACACACCCCTCCCTGCTCTGCCTCCCAAGCCTCCTCAAAGTTCAGCCACCTGCACGGGCATCGTCTTCCCTTTGGATGTCACATCCAGGCCACCTGACATGCTCCCTGAGCATCTGTGCCCAGAAGCATGTACTCAAGGAGTGCAGGGCATTAATATTAACCTAAATCAAATATAATTCAGAACCTCGTTCCTGGAGGAAAAGCACTTTACATAACATAGGGAAAAAAAAGGTAAGTCTAGCATTCAAGTAACTTTATAATGATGTTAAAGTACATTAAAAAAAAAAATAACTCTACCTGCAAATTGTTTTCCTTCCCCCATGTGGCCTTCGCATTTCTCTCTTTATAAGGTGCATCTTTTCTACAAAATTGCAAGGCATGTATCGTGCTTCCTTTTAGTTCACACCATAGAAATCTGCTTTCGATTTTCCTCATTCTGGATCCTCTGGGTCATTAACATCCCTCGTTAGCCCAGATACCGGGGAGTCTGGGCTCAGGGCTGACTCCTTCCTGGAGGACTCCTCCCTCCAAGGGCTTCCTAACTCAGGGCCCAGCTGGGCTTCTGAGGGCTTGCCCTGTAAACACTGTCCTGTGGCTGCGTGCTGCTGGCAGGGCAGAGGGAGATGGCTTTCATCAGCCCCTGAAGAGGTCTGAGGCCCAGAGAGGTCAGGAGCCGCACTCCACAGTCCCCAGAGAAGAACAAGCGGCCTCCTCTGCAGGCTGCCAGGGCGAGCGTCTACCATGCACTTTCTCGGCAAGGCTTGGGCTGATCCAGGATCTCTGCCCCCACCCCCTTTAGATCAATCCCATTTCTTGACTTCCACGTGGCTCTCCAACAAAAACAAATTCTGATTCCTCTAGACAAGCAGCGCTTCCTGATAATTATCCTGACCACGACACCCACCCACCCCCGATCTGAAGGCACCAGCAAAGAGAAGGGAGTGTGAGTGGGAGGCCGGGGGTCTTCTTTCTTGCTCTCCTCCCTTTGGCCTTCCTTTTCTGTAGAAATCTTTCCGGCCGCTTCCCCTGCCTTGGTCTAAGCTCCCTGGCTCATGCAGGTCCTTAGCAGAACCTTCTTCTCGGTACCGCTGTTGAGTTTTAAGTATTCCCAAGTCAGAAATGGTGCCTCCACTCACATCTAGAATATTCTGGGGTCTCTCTGTCTCTCTTAAAATAAACAGAATCCCCTAGTATTTTGGACATGGTGATTCTGAGGAATGCACTGAGGGCCTTCTGACCAGAGAGAAACAGGGTCTAGACTAATATGCCTTCTGGGCCCTTTCCTTCTGGAGATTTGGGTGGTTCGAGGTGGAACTGGGAACTTCTATCATTGCTCAGAGCTCTCACTCCCAAAGGCATGCAGATCCCTGGGACACCATGGCCCCCAAGGGAGGGGCTGGCTGCCTGTCAGCCATCTTGGTACCACTCTGACATGGTCATCACTGTACCCGGGCGAGAGCTGTGTTCAGCTGATCCGTTGTCCTCAAGAGCAATGGCGTCTGTGGCAGTGGGGAAGCTCTGCAATGATCTCTGTAAGAATAACAATAATTAAATGTTGCTAAGCACTGTGGGATATACAGGCTCCATCATAATCACCACAGCTAAGCAAGGTGATGATAACAGTAATTAGGTGCTGTGGTTCCCCACTGCCTGGGGTGAGGTTGGCCTGCCAGGTTAAGGAAGGGGGTACTCACGCCAGGGGGTCCTCTCTGGGGCTGGCTAGGGCTTGGCCATACTTCTTTTATGGGGTCCCTCTCCTCCACTCCTCTCCCCTTGCCCTCAGCTTCCATCGACCCTAGATCCGGGACCAGGGTCACAAGAGAGGGTGACCCCCATTCGGCAGACCATTCTAATATATGTTCAAGCATATCTTCTATGAACAGATTTCTGGGTACTGGGAAATCTTGGGGACTTATTAAGAGGGCTCCCCTCACATCAAAGTGAGCTTTATTAGCTAATTACTAAATGACACAGAGGGGCCTGGAATATGGCCGGGAGGGGAAGTCATTTTTGTATTGACTTTGGGTCTTTTCCAAGCCCAACAGCTGCCTCTCTGAAAGAGCCTGTGGAAGCTGGGGTGGGGGAGTGAGGGGAACCTTGGGACAGTTTCCTGGTGATGGCACCCTCCTCGGGGCTGATCTCTGTCTGATCACTGCCCCCAGCCAGGGGGTCAGTGAGAAAGGTGAATTCACATACCTGTCCTTTGAATGGGCTGTTATTCCTGCGGCCATCAAGTCTCAGAGCCAAGAGAGAACGTGGAATTCACGTGGGCCACTCTCCACACCAGGGCAAGGATCCCGCATATAGCAACGCCAGCCCATGGACCTGAGGCCTCAGTGGGAAAAGAGACAGGGAACTGATTCCATTTTCAGTTCCCTAAACAGTCTCCCCAGACTAAACCAAAATCTACTTCCCCCACACATATGCCCACTGGTCCTGATTCTTCTCTAGGGGGGTATGCAGCCCATGCTTGTTCCCTTTTCCCTTTGGGTTTTGGAAGATGGCTAAGCACACCTCCCTTCCACCTCCTTTGGCCCTTCTCCTTCATGAAGTCTGAAGCCACCTTTCTCACCTCTGTGCAGGTAACTTCATCCCCTCCCTCACTGCAATGGCCTTATCAGTCACTTCCCTGATTTCTGCCCCCAAAACTTCTGCCTTCACGGCTCTCTTCACATTCCCTCCAGGCACAGAAAAAGAGAAGTCCCTTCTTTTCTAAGGCTGATCCTTATTCTACCCAGGCGCCACCACCAGTGCCTCCCCCAGGGCCCGCTCCATGAAGTGCACTGTCGTTCACGTCTTACACCTGTTTTCCACATCTCACTCTTCCCTAGCTCTTTTCTCTCTGCCTCCAAGATGCTCAGAGTAGCATGTGATTTCCCCCCCAAAACAGGGAGGGGGGAACATAAGCCCCCTGGTCTCTCCAAGCTTCCGAGCCAGTTTGCTCATTCTGTCCACCACCAAACTTCTCAAGAGCAGGGTGGACGCCTGCTGCCTCTGCTGGCTCACCTTCCATTTGCTTCTGCCCCGACTCTGCCATCACCACGACTCCAACAGGCCACTCATGTTTCTGCCCTGTTTCTGAACACCCCATCTGATCCCTACCTGCTTTCTGCAGCATCAGACACTCCTGGCCACCTCCTCCTCCAATAAATTCTCTCCTCACTTGCCTTCCAGGACAACTTTATCTCCACGCTCCCCTCCTCCCTCACTGACCAGTCTACCTCTGACCATCGTGCCCGTGATACTGCCAGATCCATCTCCTGAACCACAGCTCCGGCAGCCCCCAGTAAGTGCTTCTTTGCTCAGAGACCTCCCATAGCTCACTGCTGCCTGCAGAAAAGCTAAATCAAGGAATTCTAAAATAATGCAACTATAGTTGACCTTTGGGAAAAACACAGGTTTGAACTATGCAGGTCCACTTACACGTGGCTTTTTTTTTTTTTCAGTAAATACAGTCCAGTAGTATTTTTTCAGTAAATACAGTCCAGTGCTACAAATGTATTTCCTCTTCCTTACAATTTTCTTAATAACACTTTCATTCCCCTAGTTCAGTTTGTCGTAAGAATACATCGTAGAATACGTAGAATGTACAAAATGTGTTAACCAACTGGTTATGTTATCGGTAAGGCTTCCGATCTTAGCAGTAGGCTGTTAGTAGTTAAGTCTGGGAGAAGGCAAAAGTCATATGCAGATTTTCAACTGTGCGGGAAGTTGGTGCTCCGAACCTCTGGGTTGTTCAAGGGTCAACCGTATATGCGATACAGAATGTATAATGCAATAATATGTCAGGGGTGGGGGAGTCAAAGGTTTTAAGCAGCAGAATCCATTAAGAAGAAACTTCCTCATGAGCCCAGTGTTTAAAGAGCATGAAAACAAGGTGCTCTTTAAACATGGCTCCTAATTGAAGCAAGGAGTGCTTCAGGAAACTGCAAGGCTTTCAAAACGCAATTGGAAAACCACTGAACAAATTATATTCCTCCATCTGCAGAGAAGACAACTGAAGCCCAGAAAAGAGAAGTGACTGGGAGCTAGTGGCACAGGATGTGAGTTAGTCAATCAACACGTTTTCACTGAGTGCCTACCGAGTGTTGGGCACATTCTAGGTGCAAGGGGTAGAGCAGATGAGATCCACACGGTCTGCCCTGGAGGGGCTGAGAGCACAGGAGGGAAAGAATCAAGTATTATAAACAGTTGCTGAAGGGTTATAAGCATGAGAAGGAGCCATAAGAGCGCAGAGAAGGGGACTCGCCTGGTCTAAAGGGCAGAGTGGGCCACTCTGGGGAAACGACACACGTAAACGGACCTATAAAAAATAAGTGACTGGCCGAAAGGAAGAGGAATAGCTTTGGTGTAGATGAGTAAAGGCCAAGGAGGTGAATTAGATGGCCTCAAGAAACTTCAGGAAAGCCCAGTGGCTCCTACTCAAAGCCCTGGAGCTGGGTGAGACGAGGTGGCGGAAGCACATGGCCCCACGGGCCTTGATGAGAATTTGACACAGGCATCCAAGGCTAAAGGGGCCAAGGAAGCGGTCTTGGGTATTGGGTCCTGCTCCTCTGCATTAGAACACAATCCACTGCTAGATGCAATGTAGTATTGGGGCATCTGGGTGGCTCAGTCGGTTAAGCATCTGACTTTGGTTCGGGTCATGATCTCACGGTTCGTGAGTTCGAGCCCCGTGGCGGGCTCTGCACTGACGGTGTGAAGCCTGGTTGGGAATTCTTCCCCCCGCCCTTCTCCAACATGCTCTCTCTCAAAATAAATTAACTTTAAAAAAAATAAAAAATAAATGCAATGTGGAATTGTGGGTGGGAGCCTGGTACACAGAGCAGGCATTAATAGAAGAATGAGAAATGCAGATAAATTCCATAGCTAATAGTACTATACCAATGTTAATTTCTTAGTTTCAACAAATACACCACGGACATATCAGGTATAAACATGAAAGGCAGCTGGATGAAGGACACCAGGAAACTCTGTTCTATCTTTGTCACTCTTCTGTAGATCCCAAATCACTTCAAAATCAAAGTTTTAACAATTCCCATATCCCTCTAGCACCACGGCAGGGAAGACCAAAACTGGATGCGGAGAGAGAGATTACGGTTACAATGACGGCTAACACAGACTGTTCTTTATGTACCCCAGACGCTGTTCCAAGCGCTGCATGTTATCCAACCCACTTAACCTTCAACAACAAGTCCATGAAGTAGGTGCTTCATTTTACAGGTGAGGAAGCTGGGCCCAGAGAGGTGAAGTCAAGGGCACACAGCTACTGCACGGCAGGCAGTGCAGAGGGTTAAGGATTCAAATCCAGGCAGTCTAACTCCAGAGTCCCACATGCTGGACGACTTTACTCCCTCCCCTCGGTGTGCACTTGTCTATACTGCCAGCGGGCATTGCAAGGGTTGGGCAGAAATTATGAGCAAGTGGATAATGTGGTAACAGTAGAAATGGAACAAAGTCACCAGACTTAAAATAATAGTGGAAGCAGAATGAATGGTGTTTGCCTTGGGATTAGAATATGGTGGTTGGAAAAGAAGCAAGGATGACTCCTGGGCTTCCAGCTTAAGAGGAGGGACCAGAGCCTAGTCTTCTGACGCGGAGTCCCGGGCTTCTTTGTGTCACTGAACGAAGCCTTTCAGACCTTTTGAAATCTGGCTGCAATTTTCTGCTCCTTTCTCTTACACAGCCCTAGAATGCAAAAAAAACCAAACCAAAACAAAACAAAAACCGAAAACAAAACAAAAAACCAAAAAACTGCATTGCCAGCTGTTCCCCAACAGGGCCCCAACCTCTCCCACCTCCATGTTCTCATACAAGCTGTTCCCTCCACCAAAGTTCTCTCCTCAGTCTCCTTTGGTCCACCCTTCAGGGCCTCAAATGAAGGACACCTCTTCCAGAAGTCCGCCCTGCTCTCCACAATGAGAAGCACTCACTCCTCCCTCTACGTAGCTGCCTTTGGGGGCCGTCTTTGGCTGTGACCAAGGTTCATGCTGTAATATACGTATTTGAGTAAGCTCTTGGCTTTGCATTTTGTGCCGTCAGTGCCTAGCACAGTAGATTATCAACAAGACATCTGTTTACTCTCTGAGTAAACAATCCCTATCTTATTTTCCTCTGCACCTCCCCTGGCTCTCTTATCTGTACACTGTAACCCACTACACACACACACACACACACACAAAGAGGCACCTATTTGGTGCTTTGCATATTTTAGGGTTTGTTTAAAAGTGATGAATGAATGATTATACTCTCTCATTTACTGGCCTTCGTCTTCTCCACCCAAACCCCATCCCCTGGCCTTCGTCTTCTCCACCCAAACCCCATCCCCAGACAGTGGTGCCGTGCCGGTGCCAACCCCTGGACACACCCTCTCTGGAAGTTGATTTAAGAGCCAATCAGAGGGGCACCTGGGTGGCTCAGTCGGTTGAGCATCCGACTTCGGCTCAGGTCATGATCACATGGTTCGTGGGTTCGAGCCCCACGTCAGGCTCTGTGCTGACAGCTAGCTCAGAGCCTGGAGCCCGTTTCAGATATTATATCTCCCTCTCTCTCTGACCCTCCCCTGCTCACACTGTCTCTCTCTCTCTCAGAAATGAATAAAAAAAATTAATAAAAATTTTTTAAAAAGCTGATCAGAGAAGGCTTACCCAAGGATGGGTAACGTGAGCAGGGAACTCGTGGGTATGGTACATCTGGAATTATCCCCTCAAATCCATCCACTCATCTCCTACAATATGCCAGGCAGTCTCAGACCACAGCAATGAACCAACACAGCCCTGGCCCTTAAGGTACTTACGGGCAAGAGAGGAGGTATCTACCACTGGACTGGGCTACCACAAATCAAATTTAGTAAGACATCCTCCAGCACAAAACCCCTCCTGGTGGCCCCCAGACAGTCACAGATCCACAGGCCTCCCCTATCCCCGAGTCTCAGGCTCAGGCTACACCCAGTGTGTGGATCCTACTCACCCAACTGTTGCTGGTCTTTGTGCCTTTCCTTATATGGACCTCCCCCAACCTTAAATCCAGTCTCCTTCATGCCTCCCCACTCCAGTACGTGTCTGTCCATCAGATGACTCACCAGCCCCTGTGTCCCTGTTCCCCAGAAGCCTTTCCTGATCCCCATCTGAACCCCAGGCTGAACTGGGCACTTTCTCCAAAACCCACCAAATCCTGGGTGCACACCCCTGGGACACACTACACACATTAAATGCTTGTTTAAATACAACATCTGTTTCTCTATCTGTCTTCTCCCTTCACCCCCACCCCCGCAACTAGACTTTGTGCGTTTAGCTCATTTGACAATGTCTGTATACCCCCAAGCCTGGCACACTACTTGGTACACAGAAAGCTCAATTACACCTGTTAAACGTAGAAGATGTATACAGGAGTGCGCAAACATACACATGAGCGCCGGATTAGGCCGCTTCAGCAGGAAAACAAGAGACACTCCAGGGCCACATCCCAAGTAGTGAGAAAGGGGTGCTCTCCCTGCCCATCCTCTCTTCTGCTCCTCCTATGCCCAGGAACTGGAATTTACACGTTATCAGAAACGGGCACTTCCTCTCGGCTCCTGCCCGCTGGACAAATGGCGGCAACGGGCGAAGGGAACATTATCTGGTCAGGCATCTGGGGAGTACTTCCTAGTGGGAAATTGTCTGTCTGTCTGTCTGTCTGTGTGCCTCCTCCCAGGGCAGGGGATGAGGGTAGGCCATCCAGAGAGAAGGCACAGTGGGCAGGCTCTGGCTGCCAAGGGCCCTGAAGGGTCCAGCCGCCTTGGCAGGAAGCCAAACACACCCGGCTGTGGTGGGTGATGAACCGGAAGGAGCAGGGAGTCCCTGGGACACTGACTGGATGGGTCACTTTCGAGGCATTCCTGCAAATCACTCAAAACCAAGGTCCTGGCAAAGAGAGCAGAGCTCGGTTTCCCGCTGATTTCAGAAGAGGAGGGGGCTTCCGTTTCACGAAAGGAGACCCCTGAAAAGCGGCGGAGATTAGAAAAGACCAGAAACCTCAGTGGTCCTATCTCACCCACCGACCCCTCAGGCAGCTTCCGGTTGTCCCGGCAAAGCTGCCTCTCATATTCGGCCTTCGGGGTGATGCGGAGGAGAGGGGGAGCCCCGGCTATCAGGTTCTAGTCCCAGCTCGGCCACTTTCCGCACTCGTGACCCGGGGCGAGTCGCCTTCCTTTGGGCCTTTGTTTCCGCATCTGTAAAATGGGGCGACGGCTGGAGGCCGAGGGCCTGCGGACGCCCTTTCGGCCAGATCCACAGATCCAGCCGGGCTCCGCACCGCACGCTCGCTCCTCCACAGCCCCCGCCCCCGCCCCATCTTAACTCCACCCCCACCGGGCGGCTTCGGCCCCCACGCCGGCCGCTAGGGGTCACTGCCTCCCTTTGTCAGCGAGGAGGAGGGCGGCCAGCCCTCCGGCCCTCGCCCGGGCGGGAAGGCGACCTAAGGGGCACCTCCCGAGCCAGTGGGCCGCGGCGGACCCCACGGCCCGCGCCCGGGACCCGCCTTCGCCGGGGGCCGGAAGGTGCGCGCGGCCGGGCCGGGGCCGGGGCCGGGCGGGCGCGGGCGGCGCGTCGGAGCCAGGAGGGAGTTAACGCTAACCCCTCCCCCTCGGTCTGACATCACGGGCTGAGTGGCTGAGAGGCTGGAGCTCGGCGAGTGAGAGAAAGAGCGAGAGCGGCGAGCGCGGCGCGACTCGGCGCCCGGGCAGCTTCCACATTGTTGCGGCTCGGCCGGGACCCGGCAGCGCGAGCGGCGGCGGCGCGGGGAGCGGGTGGGGGCAGGACGCGCGGCGCACCCGGCTCGCCCTCCGCGCGCGGAGCCGCACCGCCCGAGCAGCCGAGCCGCGCGCCCGCCCGCCGCCTGGGCCCCGAGCCCACCGCGCCGCCCGCCCGCCGCCTGGGCTCGTCCCGCCGCCCTCGGAGGACGGCCGGCCATGGACGCCTGCAAGTTGGAGCCGAGCGGGAGGGTGTGAGCGCGCCGGGGGCCGGGAGCCCGCGCCGCGCAGCCGGGCAGCCGGGCGCGCCGGGGGTGGGTCCCTCTCCCCAGCCCGGCTCTGCGTGGAAGAAGAGGGCGGGGACCGGCGCGGGGAGGAGAGCGGAGGAGGAGAAGGGGGCATGACTCGTGCAACTTGCGGCGGGCATCCACCGAGCCTCTGAGCCGCCGGCGGCCCGGGGCCCGGATTGCGGCCGCGCGGATCCCACCCAGCCCACCCCGCCCCGGCCGACGGCTGCGGCTGACCTGGATCCTCGGAGCGCCGGGCGGCCGGCAGCGATCGGCCTTCGTCTTCCGGACTGGTTTCTGGAGCGCGGGGAGCGCTCTCCTCGCGGCCCCTCTCGCCGGACCCCCGGCCCCCGATGGCTCGGATGGGGCTTGCGGGCGCCGCTGGACGCTGGTGGGGACTCGCTCTCGGCTTGACCGCATTCTTCCTCCCAGGTAAGCGCGTTCCGCCTCTGCCTGCCCCCCCCCCACCTCCTTCCCTGCCTTCCCGGGGCTGGGAGCTGGATGGCGGGCACGTCTGGGTTATAGGCAGCAAAAGGAGCCAGAAAAGTTGGGTCAGGGCTTAGGTGAGGGGGGTGCGGGTGGCACGGCGGGGAAAGAGAGGATGACAAGCCTCGCAGCCTGCCCTGCAGGGAAGCAGTCAGATGCACGTCTCTGTGTAGCAAGAAAGCACTTTCTCCGCTCCGTTTTTCACAAAAATAATAATATGTAATAGCGTCCTATTTATTTAATAACCAGCTCTCAGCCTCGGGAAGCAGTTTGGAAACACTGCATGTTACATAAATGCAAAATAATCACCGTAATCGCCGTCTCGGGATATGAGACAACAGCCCCAGGGGGTGGGCGTCAGTCTCGGAGCTGGTGGGCTGTGGGTTTGGAGGATGGCAGGGGGGCTTCGTCTCTGTCGCCGGCCCCTCTGCCAGACGGCTCCGCGCGCTCGGCCCCCCCCTCCCGCCCCACGCAGCCACACGCGGGCGCGGAGAGCCGGCTCCTGCGTCAGACACGGCTTCTCGCTCACCTGCGGTTCGGTTCCCGGTGGAGGAGGCCCGGGCCGCGCGGGCTCGCCCCCTCCCGGCCTTGCGCGAGCTGGACTTCGCCTCGGAACTCCGCGCCCGGTTTGGGGGCTCTCCCCGGGGGAAGCGCCGCGGGCTCGGTGCCAGCCAGGTGGCTGCATGACCCACTTTCCCGAGGGTGCCCCGCGTGTCCTTCCTCGAGGCGCCGGCGGCCGAGGGGTTAACCCGATGCCCGACCCTGGGGTGGCCCGCCGTGGCCCATCTGACGGGTGGGGTGGGGGCGGAGGCTGGGACCGGCCGGCGTATTGTGCTGGGGAATGAACTGGAAAATGCGTTTAGGAGGCAAATCCGACCGAGTCCCCTCGCCCGGATTTAACCCTTTGTGTCCCTGGGGAAGCTGCCGGGCTCCCTCAGTGGCTGGTGACACCAGCGGGGGTCAGGGTAGGGGTGGGGGGTTCCTCCAGCCCTCAGGGAAGAAACCTGAGACGACCTCCCGCCCCGGCTAGATGGGGATTTTTGTGGGGGAGGGAGGGGATTGGCTGGAGCACGTGGTCTGGCCTTAGGATAAGGGGTCGAGTAGAGGCACCAGCTCCGCATGGGGCAAGAATATCCGATCTGAAGCGCCGCAGGTAGCGCCCGTTGGAGATGCTAGCGATGAAAATGCCGCAGACTCGCCGGCTAGTTTGTTACCCAGGGGCCAGCCTGGCTGCCCAGTTCCGGGCGCTGGGGTGTACCCCTGGAAGGCAGGAACCTGGCCTCATTCAATTTGATCCCCTTTCTGCCGCCAGCTCATTGCCAGGGCTCCACGGATCTGGCTAAATGGCCGATGGCATCAAAAGCACTTTGTGGAAGCCGGCACCCCGGTGCCCCCACTCCTGCAGCCGGTGGGGTGCTGCCCTGCTAGGTGTGGGGGGAGGGGGAAATTCCAGGGCACAAAAGCAGCACTGCCCATTTCCAGGGGCCTGAGTCCCTCCCCTGGCAGGGTGTTCATGGTAAGTGAGAGTTCTTCCTCTCACACCAGACCTCCTGGGAAGCCTGCGGGAGCTTAGGCCCTAGGACGCCTGTGATCACGGGAAGGGGTGGGCGGGGTGTGCTTCTGGGAACCCTTCAATGGCAATGTGTCCACACCCGGCTTCTAGGGGAAAGGAGAGCTTTGGAGGAGCGCTAGCTGGTCTGGCACACCAGGGGTTAACCTAATTCCCTTCGGACAAAGAGTGGAAAGGCTTGGGGGAAAAGAATGAACTCACCCCCATTCTCCCCTCCTTTTTGTTTTCTTCCCCCAGCTTTGAGATACCTAGTGGTTAATTCCTTCTTGGGGAGGGGGGTGCCTAGCAGCCTGCTCTGCTCCACCCCACTCAGGAAGTGGGGTCAGGCAGTCTCACCTGGCTCAAGTGTAGACACTCCCCTCCCACCAAAAATCCAGATTGAGAGGTGGGATGCAGACAGAGAACTACAGCTCAGACAGGCACTTGAGCGCTCCTCAGTTGACTCTCCTCAGTTGACTGTCATTGTTAACGGCTGGGTGGCATCAGGGGCAGCCAGAATTCATTCACCCGCTGGCCAAGCTCCTCGCACGCCCAGCGCCCGTGTGCCCAGTGCCCCAGCAAAGGGAGGCGGGTGGGTGTGGTTGTGCCCTCTAACACCTGGATGGAGGCTGGTCGGCCCAGAAGTTGCCTGCCCACACACCCCACTTGCCACCACCCGCCGGCTCCCTCCTTGGTGCTTCCTGTTGCTCCTCTCTGGAGACTGGCCAGCTTGATGCCCTTTTCTGGGTTCTCCTGGGCTGTGTCAGGGAGCATGTAGGGCTGGGGAGAGGTCTCCTCTGGGGGGAAGCAGGTGGGGACAGCCCCCCCCCCCCGCTGTGTGTGATACCCCCTGACTAAAAAAACACCAAACACTCCCAATCTGGCTATTGACATGTAAACACAGACGTACGTTTTCAACAACACAGCCTTTACCAGGCTGGGCGGTGAAGCCCCACAAGCTCGGGAGATAACAGTCTGTGGTTCCCGCAGGTCAGCTCAGAGGAGAGGGCCGGCCGGGCATGGGGGCTACACCCCCAGAGAGGGCCAGGAGGAGCCCTAGGGAGGAGGCAGAGAACCTGTCTTAGAAGCAGGTGCACAGAGCCGGTGTCCCACCCTCCACCACACCCTCCCTAATTGGCTTCCCCAAACCTTTTGTCTGGAAAGAGAACACACACCCCAGGTGTCATGCACACCCTCGGAAGACCTGTCAGGCCGCAGCACATCGCTTCTCCGCAGTCTGCACAGAGCTTGCAGAAGGTGGTTTCCTTCGAAACTCCGAGTGTCGGAGCCACTGGGCTGTTTTCCTCTCTCCCCATTTCTCACAGACGGTGATGTGCTCAGGCTTGCTGGGCAGGACGTCATGGCAAAGCCAAATCTGCTGGGCCCGGGGATTACCGCGCGTGCGAACAGCAATCTCAGTGCCCGTTTTGGAGGCTGCGCTCTGGAGAGTGTCTCAGAATCAGATTCAAGGCCTAACAGTCCAGGCTGGAGGGGAGGAGAAGGTCCTGTGGGGCCTGGGCCCAGCAGCCCATTAGGCATCTCTGAGTCTGAATATCTGCGGCTCAGGGGGACAGGTGGCCCCTTTTTGCCCGGCACTGGCCAAGATGGTGATATTACTTCCCTTCTCCACCACTCAGCTACGCACAGTGAATCCACCTACTCGTTAGCCACTTCCTCAGCCGGGACCCCGTTGAATGCTGCCTGGATGGTCATACCAGCCAGCAGAGCCCTGGTGCTGGTGGCTGGGCAAGTGGGCAAGTGGGCCAGGCTTGGGGGGGTGGGGTGAGGGCACAGGCAGAGGGTCTGCCCAAGTCGCTGTGTCTATGATGCTGCCATTGTTTAGCAGCTGACTAATGTTCATTGTGCGGCACGAACAGAAGACACCCAAGGGAGGTGTGAATATACCTTCGATGCTCCTGATTGTATCTTTCCTGGTTAACCTAGTAACTTGGATGGCTCCTGCCTGGGGGAGAGACAGAGAGGGTACCTGTGTATTTGACTGTCGTCGTTGCCGTTGTTTTAACTCTGACTGTTAGCCAGCGTGCCGGGCTAGGCTGGACACTAGCCAGCTGTGGCACTTAGGCGCCAACATTTCCGACAGTCTGCATGTTGTTTCGCCATCCGTATCCATTGGCTACGCGCACACACGTGTGCAAGGCTTTGTGTGTTTGTGTTGGTTATCTGCGATTCCCTGTGCACATGCAGAGCCCCAGGCACTAGGGCAAGGAGGCGTCCTGCGTCCTCTGGATGTCTGTGGGTCAGCACAGGGCTGGGGCTGTAACTATGTATCAGATGTATATTCACTAGAACTGATCCCTTGTGGCTTTCCAACTAGGATTTTGTGAGTGGCTCTGAGCCTTGATAAGACCTGTGTTGATGTCAGAGGGTCAGGGACATGATTCGGGGAAGAGACCTGGATTTGCCCTCAGCCAGCTCCTCTCATGATGGGCCGTTGGGGCCTTCGGGAGTGGGAAGCCTTTACACTGGTTTCTTTTTCTGTTCTTGCCCTTGGCTTTAGACTGGGCCTCCGCATGCTCACCTGGAGAGACTTTCCTCTCTCATCTCCTTGACACACGGTGTCTGGAAGCTGGTGTTGACTGGAGCCCGGCTTGCCCCCGCAGCTTCTCAAGATCCCTGGAAGGCTGGGAGGGGCCCTGGGAGATAGATTTTCAGCTGCTGATTGGCATCTTTGCTTTCTGTATGAACACTTGGGGGAAAGGAGATCATCTGAGGAGAAAGGTGGCCTACACTGGGCAGTTTAAAGGGGCACGAATGTGGGTTTTGGTCCTCCATGCAAATAGCCCTGCGGGACCCTAGGCATACCCGGGTTGGCAATGTACATGTATCCGGAAACACCCTGGGCCCCAGCAGCAGAATGGGGGAGCCCCCTTAGAGGGAATGAGGGGCAAGAGGTTGGGGAGAACGTTTGTCCTGGGAACCCAGGACCCTGTGCCCAAGACCGCTGGCAGGTGTTTCTCGCCCACGATGCCTGCCCCTCTCCATAGAGACCAGGTCTGCGGAGCCAGCAGCAGATGTGCTGGCTGGGCAGGAGGTAACTTAAGATCTGAGCAGGGATCACTTTGCAGAGGGAATGCCCTGAGTTGGAGATAACACCCCTTAGTCCAGTTAACCCTTGAAACTCTGGACTGTGCTGATTTGGGAGATGGGGAGGGGGAAGAGATGGGAAGAAACACACCACGCCTAACGTCTGAACGCTGACCCATTCCCGAAGGACAGATGGACATAGTGCAACAGGAGAGACCTCACAAGGACACAGAGAAAGTCTTCCTGGCAGCAGACTATGGACTCTTGAGGGCAGTGGATAATCCCCGGGTTTATCCTTGGGTGGGGGAGGGGAGCAATGGTATGTATTCTCCAGGGCTCATGGGATCTGTGC